TACACTACCAATACTGAAGGCCCAGTAAGAGGCTTGTTAATGTATTTAATTTATTAAGTGTTCGATTGCATGAAATTACGGTTAATTATGAAGGTTGTATTAAAATGAAATAAGTTCTAAAATCGGAAAATATTGTAATAAGTTGTAATAAGAATGAAAATTTGTTTGCTACAAGTGAAAAACTCAAAGAGCAAGTAACAACGCAAATACTACGGCGATGAAATTGAAAAATTATTATTTTTAAACACTGCGTTTCACTTCTGTATCATATGTTTTAATTTCATATTTTTTCTGAAGAATCTTCTAGTACTTTATAAAATTTTAAACTATTGAAAGGGTGAACAAGTATTATTTACATTTTATTTGAAGCGTGCATCGTAAAAATGATTTAAGAAATCGTACTTATATATTTCTGGAAATCCTATTTTTTTATGCGTATGAAGCTGTACGAATGATATTAAACTGTAACAAAAGGTATTTCTTTTAAAAATACGACCTCACAATTTTCCCCCGAAATTTGCTACTACATCGTTAAAGGTAATAGTTGCATAATATCTTTTAACTAAGTACGTGTCTCCAAAGCATAATCTAAGTATATTACGCACTTTTAACATTCCTTATTGTAAATATCATAAACAGGCATTTATAGTATACGCTATTGTAATAAATGCTGAAACGTTGCCATCAAAAGGACGTAAATGCTTTCTATATAATTTTGTTGTAAGTAAACTAAATGAATAGCTTTGTATTACGTGTTATATTTTACAATGTAACTTTAATTTTCGGGTTGTAGGCTTCTTTTTGTGATTTCAGTAAATCAATTAACTTCATTCCATCAGGTCCCTTGCAAATCAAGACCGTAACGGCTTGTTTCATATTACATACTCCACATTATTAGAGGTAAAATTGCCCTCGAAATTAACCGTTTGTAGTTATTTGCTCGTGATACATCAACAGAAATGAGAGATACTGAACTTCATTAAAGGTGCGTTTGTTACTGCGGTAATGAAGTTCTCCGTCTAAGACTTTTAATTAAATATCGTGAAGACATTTCATACATTGCTGTAAAATTATATTTGGCTAATATAATTCTTATTAAAGAGCTTGGAATGTTTTATTGATATTAGTTCGTGTTTTACCGTTTTAACATTAATGTCCAATGAGCTGACTTCCTCTCTGGCATTTGTAACCTTATATATAACACAATTATAAGCTCCTCTAAGTACACATAAGTAATTAACATAGTGAATCTAAATTCTTAGTTGTTTTATTTGTGCCTAAAAACTAAAAGAAGGTAAGATAAATAAAATTGTATTGCTTCGAATATCCACATGAATTTTATTGAGTACTTTAATATCCTTGGCTGATGAAGCAAATCATTTAATTTCATACACATATAAAATTAACGTTAACAAACGTTAACAACTTTTAACAACCAATCCTTAGAAATAATTTAGCAAAGTGACAATGAAATAAGACTTTTCCTCTTCATTGTTTGATACAAAGATACTATTCTTTTCGTGATAAACAACCAAAATTATGTTAATGTATTGCAATAACATGTACAGTTTATTTCACTTCACGTGACGTTTTTCGTTGCCTATATAATATAATTAAGTTCAAAAATTTATGTTTATTTATGTTATTTTAAATACGTTCGCTTTATTTTTTACTGAAGACACATTAGTACAAATAATTCTCCAAATAGGATGAATCGAAAATGGCAAGTTTTTATTTATCTCCAAAATTTCTAACTTCCAGAATGAAATTTATTTATCTGTATTAAATCAACCTTTATTCTCTCCGAATAAGCAATTTAAGAATATAAACTAAATGTTTTGGTTTTAATCACACTAAAAGAAATCAGTGGTTCTCAAATGCACACTAAAAGTTGTTGTTTTTAACATCTAATTAACAAAATAACTCGTGTATATGCATTCGCCCAATTTTGCATTTGGAGGATATAGCCTATTTTATTTTTTTAGCGTATGAACTCGTACTTTTTTTCAATTTTTATCAATTACTGACAATGTTCTGTTTGTATTTCTTTTCTTGATTCTTCTAACAACATAAAATTGAGCTCATTCGGTCACATAAGATATAATTTATTTGAATTAATATATTTCCATATTAAATCAAATTCAGATCAAAAATATAATTTTTTGAGAGAATTCGAACAATTAAACGATGTAAATTAATAAATTTTAGTTCTGGGAAATACTGAATGGCTGAGAATCGGAGTTATGTTCTTGTGCAAGTAACAATATAAGTTTATTCACAACTTTAGTTCTCAATATCACTTTATTGCGAAGATACACACAACTCACTATAATGATTGAGCATGAATTGATACCCACAAAAATGGATTTTCAATACCAAACGGCAAAAATATTTCACACTGGTAAATACCTTATAAACTGGCACGAGTGATAAGGCACTGAAACATTTTGTCCAAACAGAACATTTTAAGAGACTGGTATGTGTTTATTTTCAGCAGATGATTGAAGTGTAGTTTTGCTTAGCTCATTCCGTTCACTTCATTGTGTTTCTCCTGAGCTGATACTGAAAAAAATGATCGCTTCGTTCAACACTTTCAAGTCTGTTCTCATCCAAACCTTTAACAAAGGAAGAATAACAGTGACATCATCAAGAGCTACCGCAAAGTTGTGGGCAAACATTGGAGGCGCTGGCTCTTTGTGGGCGGCGGGTTTCACCAAACTCTGTTCCTAACGTACATGGCTATTGCGGGCAGGCGCGTGTGGTGATTCGCAGTTTTTATTTCTGAGATCCCCGTCGTTTCATTCACATAGAAGATTATAAAAATATTAATTTGATTTGATTGAAATATATCTCACAAGGAATGATTTCCTAATATTTTTTTATTTAAAGTGTATTGGAACTTTTAGCATCAAAACCCACGTACCATTAGCCTTATTTCTCAATGACAAAACTAAACCCTGTTGTAAAATAAAAGGAAGGAAAAATCTGAATTATTTGGGTTGCGCAATCCCTTACTGAGGAAACTTAACTATTCGGCTGAAAGTACTCTCATTCTTTTCAAAAATATAATGTAATTCGTACACATATCGCCCAGATCGCAGCACGGTTAAATTTTTTTTCATGAGTTCTCGGGCACAAGAACGCACGTGATGGCCAGACTCAAAGAGTCAACGAGGAAATATTTTTCAACAACACAATGTAACTAAATGCAGAAGCATTTTTCAAACATCAGCGATGTCTCAGTATACATATTACAAACACTCTAGGTGTGAAGGGGATCCCACGAATGTTTTCACCTTTAGCCAATCATAAAGGTAAAAAATCTTATGTTACAAAGATAAAAAGTTACGCGTCACCTCAGGCTCGTAACTCATAGTGTATAGGTGTTTGACGTTTTGATAAAAGATTTGTGGGACTTTCAACAACATCCAGTGCTAGTTGCCTTATCAAGTACAGGGAAATGTCATATTATAACTTTATTATATGATATTTTCCCACCAATAGGTTTTATGGCCAAAAGACAATTAGCAACGAACACCTACACCCCCCTAAAGCTTGTAACAAATGAGAAACTGGTAGAGGTGAAGTTGTACAAGAGAAGGATATCCCAGCATTGGGTAGCTCGTAAGGTGACGTCACGGATATCACTGGTGCGCAGATGTAACGTTATAGGTCGGTGAAGGCGCCTCTATATCATGGCCGTCAAAGAGAGCATGTGTTCGGAGGATGCTTGGCGTTGTAACAACCATATCCATTACAAGGGGAAATTGCTAATCCGATATCACAGAGCCTACAGTCGGGAGTTTGGTGAGCACGCAAGAAGAATGTAAAATTTCAGAGTCCTTCAAATTTGCCTTCAAACAAACTACGAGAATACTTGTTTTAATAATAGCTAGTTTTAAAAATGAATTTTAAAATCAAAATGTTTCCAGAAAGCATAAAGAGAGTTTATGATTATCTAAAACGAAATGATCATCACATTGTTTAATCATTAAACTGTAACAAACACATTTTAAGATTTCGAATAGACGTAATATTTATTACTTTTTTACGACTCCCACCCTCCTAAACGCATTTTTTTAAAGATCAAAAGCGAATAGCTAATAAATGAATGTATGACTTTTGGTTTAATTACAATTAGGATATAATAATAAACATTTTATTGGTTTAATAAATGTTACTTTATGGAAATATCAATACCATTTGTAGAACACGAATCTACATCTTTCTATGGAATTTCTGCCAAAACCCTGCTTGCTCTCTTTGGTAACTTATCATCGATCCCACGTCGCGAGCTCGTCCTGTGCAACCGACGATTTGAAAATCATTCACGTATTGAACCATGCTAGTTGACGCGTCATTGACCATGTGCATTCGTCGCCCATGTGGTGACGTCATTTTACGGGAACAAAATTAAAAAGGGCATGTGGAGACTACGGACTTTTAGCCCTGCACACATCAAACTCATCACTAGCCGTCGGATATTGCATTTTTTTGAATTGCACCATTTCTCGGAGTCCCTAGTCGCCTGTATGCTTGAGGCAGAACATGATTTCTCCTTTCTCGTCACAATCTCAAACGCTACCCATCCACGCCTCGTCCACACCTCCGCCGACACCTTCGCGGTCACACCTCAACGCTCCCACCTAAACGAGTCACACCTCAACGCTTCCCACCTACGAGTCACACCTCCGGGCCACCCTCCGCGGACACTCAACGCTACCACACTACGCGCCACATGTCTACGACACACCTCCGCGCCAACACTTCGCGCCCACACCTTCCGGCCATACCTTCTCGCCAGAACTCCAGCGCCACACCTCAGACTCTACATACCCTACGCGCCTTCACACCTACACACCTAACGCGCCAAATCTTCTACTCAAACTCCGCGCACAACCTTCCCACT